AACTGTATACCTGGTACGAGCTTAACAAAAGTTGACATATTTACAGAGAGTAATTACCTGTTGTTGTTGAATTTCTTTTGCGGGGGGGGGGGGGTCTTTTAGATTTTTTCAAAACAAAATGATTCTATAAATGAATGTAGAATTGTTGAAATTGACATTACAAAGATACCGCACATTGACAAAGGTTGTAGTATTTGTAATTGCTCATCTAAAACTAGAATCATTTGTCTCTCACAGAATTATGACGATACTAGAGATCAGAGATATATGATTGTGTGTGTATGCCTCGAATATTAAAGGCGGTGGTCGTCCCGCCACGCATGCGCGAGATATGGGTTGCGTAGATCAACCAGTATTAACTGGGACATTGCCAAGCTTTAATTAGGTACTTTTCAGGTGATTCGATTGAATCGCGTCACCGGCCGTGATTAGTGCGCCCATGTCAAAACTCATACTTGCGATTTCCATTAGAAAAGTGCATTGGATTGTGGGAAAATCAATGTTTATCAACAAAACTGTCGCACATGCGCGGTACAACATCCACCGGGCTTTAAAATATACTAAAGTCATTAAACGTATAATTTTAATATGGACTAGTACAACCGAGTAAGATATCGAATCAATCTACGTAAAAAGTGTGTTTGACTTTCTACATAGTATGATATAAAAACAGTTCCAGGAGTGAAATTGCTAAAAATCTGTCAGAAGTGGGATTCGAACCCACGCCTACAAGAGTAGACTGCGACCTGAACGCAGCGCCTTAGACCGCTCGGCCATCCTGACACACGTGCCCCAATTACCAAAAAGCCAATCAACTATAGGGTACCTGGCAAAATAATGTGGTCGTAGAAAATAATAATTGTTTTTTTTTTTCTTAAAAAATTGTTCGGTCCCCATTGTCTGACACAGATCCTTCTAATAGAAAGGAAAAATTGGCAAGCAGACACATTTTCTTTCTTGGAACTAAGAACATCATTTCACCAACAGTTTCTCGGACATAAATTCATTCAAACTCGTCATTTACATCAGACCTGGTGTGTTCACTGGTACGTTGAGTTGTTTCAGGTTTTGTTTTTGTTTTTCGCGAAACTATCCGTTTTTATGCAATCTGGGAAGTCCGAGTTACTGAACGAAGTACAGGAAGACGAAGCTGAAATGTCCAAGAACCAACACATACCAAATATTATATCTCAAAAGTAAATATTCGTGGTATATTTTAAGTCTAAGCGGACCGGAAGTGAGAGTTAGTTACTACTCTAAATATCCAAACATATTTTAGTATGAGGTAGTAACTTAGAACACAATGTCACCAACTGTTTCTCAGAGATGATCTCATTCAAAATCGAAATTTACACAATACTGGCATGTTGATTTGTTGACAACGACTTATTTTTGAGAGAAACCAAAGTGGATGAAACCGTAAATAAATTATGTGTGTGTGTGTTATTTTTAACAATTAAAATAACACCATTTCTGAAGTGGG